ATAATATTGTAAAATATGTTTGACAGTAGATAAAAATAAAACAAAATATAAACGGACATCAAGTTTTGATAGAGATGGTGAAATGTTTAAGTGAACATGTCATTCATTTTTTATTATAGACAAAATAAAACACTAAATAACAATAAATTATCTTAAAACAAATACACACAAGATGAAGACAAAAATAAATCTGAATATCAGGCGTATAACCTGACAAAATAATAAGTCATTAGCTTAACACCATCTTGTCTCAGAATCTTTCACCTCATAACACCACTTTAGTGGCCGCTAAGAACTCACAGTTTTTTCCGATCAAATAGAATCAGAAAAAATAAAATAAAAAAGAGAAGGAAAATGAGAAAATATTGTTAAGTTCACTATATCTAACATAACGATGAGTGTGCATTTATCTCTTTTGAAACAATAAATAAAAGGTAAAAGAGAGTAAATATCCTTCCACTTGATTGATAGTTTTTAAGAATAAGTTGGAGAAAAATTAGCACATAGTACCATAGGGTGGAGAATAGAACTTGCAAAAATACACAATTATATCACACTGATCCGTATAACATTTCCCAAACAAACATGAAGTAACCCTAGATATAGCCACCGAAACTTTCAAACAATTTAATAACTTCTGAATCATTATAATTAATATGTTATATTTAATGAAACCAAAAAATTGACATTAATATTTTTGTTAAAAAAATAATCATTTAATGAAAATATAATATAATTAAAACAATTATAATAAATAAATTATTATAATTATAATAAAAATAATCTTTAATGAAAATATATAATATAATTAAAACAAATAAATTTATAATTATAATAAATAAAATTCATGAGAAAGAGGATAAATCAATTTACGCTATTAATCTTATACATTTCATTAGATTTATACCAACGAAAAATAAAAATATTGAATCTCACAGATTTTTGGTTCCCTTTTTACTACCAAATTTAAAGTTCACCTAGAATAATAAATGATAAAAAATAATTAATAATTAAAATATAATGAAAATAATTTTAAAATAAGGACTAATAAGATAATAAAAATAGACCAATTAAAATTTAATTATGCTATGTAATATAACTTGATTTTAATGAAAATTTTTTTTCCTATGTTTAATGAAAAGTTTAATAAAGATTTAATAGTTAAGTAAAAGTCACAGAATGTTTAAATATATTCAAAATAATTAAAGAAGTCTATAAGTTTTGAAAGACGAAAAATCTGTTATCATATTGTTTTCCTTTAAACCTAAGGAAAAAAAGATTCACACACTAAATTTTCTTTCTATTTTAAGTAAAATAAGATCAAATTTCGAATAATTATCAAAAAAGATTCAAACAATAAACAATAAGTAATAAATAACCAAACAATATTTTACAAAAAAAAAATTGAAAATAAAATAGTAACACACAAAAATAAAGAAACAAAAGTCGCGACGAGCCGCAATACACAACAATTCTACGCAAAACACATACTGATAATCTATGACATTCAAAATTTGGATATTAATATTTTTGAAATTTGAAAAACAAAAAACAAAACGTAACTAAAAATAATTATATAATTTTCTAACTACTTATATTTTATAATATATTATAATATTTGTATATCAAAATAACATACAACATATATAACTAAAATTTTAACAAAAAACCCGGACGTAGCTAGGGCCGACCCTAGTTTTAACAATTTTGTTATTTAATTATATTCTTGGGTTTCCAAAAAGTATGGATGATTATTTTATTGGGAAAATTGTCATTTAAATCACCAATTTTCAAATTTGGTTGAAATAAAGCACCAATTTTCTCATAAGCCAAAAAAGCGCTCAACTTTTGTTGATAAGCCATTTTAGTCACATACTTTCGTCGACCATACCAATTTAGTCATATCGTCAGTCAACAGTTATAGTTGACTAACAGTATGCCTAAAATGGCTTTTAAAGTTGGTGTTTTTTTTGGCACAAATATAAATCAATAATTTTCACAATATTAGATTTCAAATATTGAAAATTTTAAATAACTATAACACTAATAAATAAAATTGTAAATAAAAAATAAATTCCATTCAAAAATATAAAATAACTCAATGTAAAATTATTAATTAACATATCCTTAATTGAGTATTTTAGTTAAAAATGATTATAATTTTTTTAATTATTTATGATTAATTTAAAAAAACTATTTGTATAATCCTACAGGGATTATGTTTTATAATTTTATTGTCAAAAATTTGTTAGTAAAATTATTACTTCAATTCTTGATTTTTTAAACAAAATGAGTTATCGGATAACAAAAAGAGTTATCTATTTTGGTGAAACTTATTTTTCTTTTTAAATGCATAAAAACTCTTGTAAAAATTTATAGAAAATATATAGATTTGTTTGAAGATCTTTATTATAAACTTAAAGAATCATGAATAATTCGTTAATCGATAAATTTTTTCATTTAAGAAACAAGAGTTGAATTAATATTTCATCAAGAAACTTTTGAAAATAAAATTACAAAAAATAATTCAAATAGGATTATATAAATATTTAAAAAAATTAATCGTAAATGATTAAAATATTCTTATCATTTTATAATCAAGTTACTCAATTAATGTATGTTAACTAATTATTTTACATTGAGTTTTATTTGTGTTTTTATTGGATTTTTTATTTATAATTTTATTTATTAGTGTTTCAGTTATAAAAATATTTTCAATATTTAAAATATATCCAATATTGTAAAAAAATATTGATTTATTTTTTGTGCCAAAAAAAACATCAACTTTGAAAGCCATTTTAGGCCTACCGTTAGTCAACTATAACTGTTGACTAACGATATGCCTAAATTGGTATAGTCGACGAAAGTTTGTGATTAAAATGGCTTGTCAACAAAAGTTGAGTGTTTTTTTGGCTTTTGAGAAAGTTGATGCTTTATTTCAACCAAATTCAAAAGTTGGTGATTTAAATGACAATTTTCCCTTATTTTATTAATTATTGTCTTCTATATATGGTGTTGTACCTTCCGAATGTTTAATTCAGTCTAGTTTTCTATTACTTTAATCATATTTGCATGTGGGGCTAAGCTCTATATTTGATTTTTATAGCTGTACCATTTACAAAAGTGTGTGTTTATATGGTTTATTTTGTTTCGTTGGGATATGTTATGTGATGTTGACTGTTACAACGTTTTGTTAGCGTACGGGTCAACTGACTTGCTAATTTGTTGTGAGCTGAGTTTAAGAGTTCTTGGTTTTGGTTTTTGATTTAGATGTGTAACTATTTGGTGGTCAGTTATGTAATGATGCTAGGAATATTTCATGTCAAATATTTAACTTTTATCTTTGAACTATGAAATTTTATTAACGATGGTATGTAACTGAATATGTGTATCAATATATGTACATGATTGTTGTGAGAGCCAATAATTTTGTTTTGAATCAAAGTCAAAATAAAGAAGTAGACGTAAACCACATAAATCTGTACATAAATATCTTTATATAGAAAATAGATTTCCACATATGTTTATAATAATAAAATTTGATGCAATGTAGTCGAGATTTTTAATGTGTTAGCTAGGTGAGAGTTTGTTGTCGTGAAATTTGTTTGTGATTGTTTTTGTACCCTCAATAACTGGGTATATGCATGCAAGTTCAATTAGTTTGGATTATCCGGCTTGGTTTCGGTTTAACAAAAATCTGACTAAATTAACCCAAAATAATGTTTAGATTGGTATTCTGTTAATTCAGTTTTTAAATCTATTCCAAAGTTTTTTTTATTTTGAGGATATTTTTGTTTAAGTTTTGTTAAATTTTGGACACATTTGATTAATATCGCTTAGTTCCGTTAGTTGGATTCCAAATTTGATTAATAGTGTTAGTACGTTTTTTTTGTTTGGTTTGGTTATATTTTTATAAGAAAACCGAAGTATTTGAATGTCTAGAATAGGTCTTGACATTTGGATCTTCGGGTGGGGTTTAGATTAGTTCACTTCGGATCCGGGTCCTTCGTGTATAGAAAAATCGGGTTCAATAGGTACTTGAAATTTTTCGGTTAGGTTTCATATCGATTCTTTCCGGGTCCAGGTCATTCAGGTCTGAAAATCAAAAACCTATTGTAAAACTATTAATTTCGGATACTAATAGGTATGATTCTCGGTTTCGGTTATGTTTGTATTCAGTACTTCAATTTTTGGGTTAAAAAAATTGAACAAAAAGAAAATTCAAACATAAACCGAAAATAACAATCAAAAATATTATTCAGCAAATGATAGCAAGACAAGTGTCAACTTTTACCCCAATGTGAAAAAACTCTACTTTCTTATTGTAGATATGTTTCAAAATGCTATATATATTTATATTAAAAATATTTCCTTTTTGATAATTTAGAAATTTGGAAACAAATATCAACAAAAAGTTAAAAAAAAAAATTTACATCACAAAAAGGTTAAATAAAATACTAATATTTAATTTACTAAGGTTATCCTTGTAAAAAACAATTCTAAAAATCAAAGACACATAGGAAATTCACTTATCAAATAAAATTATAAAGATTTACTTACAAAGCCCAATGGTAAACCATAAACATACAGTCGTTTTGGTTTTATTGGTACAATAACACACATGGTATCGGCCTCCCTGCATTCGTTTTCTCTTCGTTCTTTGTCAATGATAGATTGCGCACAAAAACTACTCCCATGCATGGAACAGTTATAATCCAATTAGCTTAAAGAAAATATAATCCAATTATGAATTGGTATGTTAGAACTTCAGATGTTTTTTCCAAGTCATCTGCTATATATCGCGATTTTTCTTTTTTTTTGCGGTCTACAACAGCAACATACACCAAATCCTTCTTAATATTGCACAATGCAAGACCATCGTACAAGATAAAAACTATAAACACGTATTTTAACAATAGTGATTAAAAAGCCCAGCAAGATTTACAATATATATATATATAGATATATAAATATATATTTTATTTTATTTTTGAGGTCATTTAGACACAATCAGTTTTGGTCAAAACCTGAACCATTGTCTGCATCACTCTCACTTTCATTTCCAAAGCCAAAATATAATCTGCCGTCTGTCTAAAAAGTCCATCCAAACCTTCTGATGGTTTGGTGTTGGGAACAAGCTCTTTCAGCGTCTTGACTCGTCTATCAATTGCATGACAGTACGGTCTTCTATGAGCTTCTAAGCTCTTCTTCGGCCGGATCATGATCTTCTTCACAAGTGCCCTTCGAGCTCTTTGTCTTCTCATCAAAACCCAGATTGATTCCTTTCTTTGTCCTTCTAATGTTACTCCCATTACTGTAATGATGCAAGAATGTTTTTTTTTTTTTTTGTGTGGTTAATGTGATAAAAATTGATTTAAGAAAAGTGATAAGAACTCTACAAAGATGATTTAATATAATGCCGATATGAGACGGTGTTGTAGTTTAAATACACATAGATAAAGGTAAGTGACCTTTAGATATAACTTAATGAAAATGGAAACTACAGCTTCTGAGAAGGTTCACTTTTCTATCCCAAAAGAATAGGATGATATTTGGACAACTGTCCACAAGGGTGTTTTATTTTGTGTGTTTAAAATACTGTTATTGATGGATAATTAGGGTTTAGATTAGATTAGAGGTAATGTCACCAAAATACAACTTGATGCACATGCACTATGATTTTCATCATCACCCAACTATCCTATATGCTTAAGACCACCATCTTTCTTCCCGTTCACATCACCATAAGTAATCACCCTGTCTTATTCCTCCTCTGTTGCCCTTTATAAATTTATATTGAACTTCCGGCCAATTAGTTTGAGTGTATGAAAGTCGGCGAATCAAAGATAAGAATGTAGTTATCTTTATGTATTATTTTTTTATAGATTAGATACTTATTTAAATTACAAGCAATGCATGCAGTCAGTGTACAAGAAGGTGGTGCTTGAAATATGATAAGTTGATAAGATGGAATTGTGTACGTATATACTTTCTGATTTCATAAATGATTTCAGAAACTTGCATCGACTTTTTGATTTTCCTACGATTGAATTGGCATCCATCTTTATAGATAATGATTTCATATGGCTAATTGGTTGCCATAATGCCTTTGCTTTCACTGGGTACTATGCATCTCATTATTTCCAGCTAATATAAGCCGGCGCAACTAATGAGCAATTGAAAAAAAACTAGTGATATACAATTAAAAAGCAGTCCCGAGTAGTTTTAGGTGTTTTGTTTTTCTAGACAAAGTAGATAACGATGTTGGCGAATGAGATAAGGTTTTGATTTACATAAGAACATGCGGATATCTTTAATGTTTTTTTGAATTTTTGAACTGCATATTTAAGGTTTTTATGTTCGTGAGTGGATTTAGTTGAAGCATCTCAAAAGATTATGTTCTTTGCTCGTCATGTGTTGTATTTATTCATATTTTAAAAAGAAAAAAAAAACAAAAAGAAGCAGATTGGTGGAGCTATATTGATCAGAGATCCTCGGACGCTATTTGATTCAATGTATTCTCCCATCGCCGTCAACCCGAAACAATGTACTTAGTAGTTCTCTTATACATATATATGTACGTCTCATATAACACTAATTAAAGAAATTCGAATGATTGAGAGAAATAAGCTTAACATTAAGCATGATGATTGTGCAGTGTATGTCTATGGTTTATGATGGGCTGCAAAGGTAACGTGAAAAGTACCTAACTCATGAAGGTAGGTTCAGTGTATATCTAAATATTAGCCATGATGAATAGTTTAGTGTAACTTGATCGCTTGTTAGCACGTTATGTTATATAAGCTCAACGTGCATACACATGTTACTAGGTGTTTTTTCCCGCACATGCGGGCTTAATGATTTTACAAATATTTATAAATAAATATGTAATCAATTTAAGTAACATTAAAATAAGTTATTGTTTATATATTCAAGATATTCAATAATAATTTTTTATATATATATTATGTTTTTCATCATAATATAATAATTTCCATTACATAAATTAAATTTAAAAACACTTATAAGTTAAAATATTTAGTAATAAATTAATATCAAATTTTAAGATATGAAAAAAAATTTGAGTATAATAAAATTATCTTTTATTGTGTAAATAAATTTGAAATACTCTGGTATACATAAAAATATATAGAAAATAATATGTATGAATTTTTTTTTTAGTTTTATTTTTAAAATAAGATGAAAATTAATTTTTTGGATAACACAATATAAATTATTTTTGATCTATAATTATCAAATGAATGAGTTTTTTTTAATTAATGATAAATTATAGATTAACATATATAATTAGTTTTTAATGTTGATAAAGATTTTATAACACAATATAAACAAATTAGATAAGGATAATTATAAAATTAATGAAATTCGTTTTTAATTTATAATTAATTATATATTAACAAATAAAACTATTTTCAAGATTAATAAAGACTATTTAAAACAGTAGAAAATATTTTTAGGTAAGGATAAATCTTAAACCACTGAAATTCGTTTTTATTTATAGCTAATTATATATTGATTTTTTTTTAATTATTCATTAAGGGTATAATCGATATTAACCACTCCAACTTTTAACGTGAGAGTTCCGTTGCGAAAAATCACTTCGCAAATAATAGTATAGATATCCTCCTTATTTGTCTAGGCCACCCGAGAAATTTCAATTTTATAATATCATAATACTTCCATATTTTTTGGAAATTATTAGTACCAAAATATGATTTTGTATCTACAACTATTAAGGATTTGTATTTGGTAATAGGAGTTATAACTAGAAAAGGGTATGTGTCATTCAGAACTAGGACTGGGACTTAATATCCGCCATCCGCTATCCGATCCGGGATCCATCCCGATCCGCTCCAAAAAAACCGATATCCGGAGGGTTCGGATCCGGATCCTGATAGTGATTTTACAGATCCGGCGAATCCGGATCCGGATCCGGATAGTGAAAATTTTAGTCCGGATATCCGGATCCGGATCCGGGCCCACCAAATATTTTTAAAATATTTAAAATATAATTAAATTTATATAGATATATTATATATAATTTTTATTAAAATAACTAAAACTTAGTTTTACTAAACTTTTATTAGCTTTTAAAACTTTTTTGCAAAAAAATAAAATATTCATTGAATAAATATATGTTTAATTTTAAATTTTTAAATTTAATTTTGATTTTTTTATTTTATTTTTTTAAAAATGAATCCGGATATCCGCGGGTATTCGAGTTTTAGTCCGGATATCCGAACCCCGGATATCCGGAAGGCCTGAATCCAAATCCGGATATCAATTTTATGGATCCGCCAAATCCGAATCCGGATCCGGATATCCCAAAATACTCCGGATATCTGATCCGTCCCATCCCTATTCAGAACCGTGTTTTTAACTAAGTCGAGCGGTTGACATGACTTCGATTATCTGTGGTTTGTATTAACGAAGGGTCATATCACATGGTTTGTGCGTGATATTAAATTGTTGAGATGGTTTCTTAATTCTGCTCTTTCTGTTGGATTAGATTCACGCACTCGTAACCTGCCTTTTCAGTTTTTATAAATCTGCTTGTTCGATTTGCACGGGTAATCAACTTTCTGTATGATTAGAATATCTAGACAGAAAAACAAGTTTTAGATATTAAACTGATTAGTTGTAAATATTTTCTTTAAAAACTGTAAAAAAAAAAATATTTTGCATTAGATATTCTGTGATTTTAAATGTTCTAAATATATAATGTTTTCATAATTATTATTATTCGTTTTTTCTTGTATTGCTAGAAGTAATATAAGAATTATAGACAATTGATAATTACTGTCGCCTCAAATATAAAAAAATAACTGGTCTTACGATTATTTTGACATAAATTTTATAAAAAAATTGTTTTTTTTTTAATTTGGATTTCCCTACTTACTAATCCATAAATTTGGTTCAAATCTATAATAATAAATTTGTTTTTTTTTCTACGGAGGTTAAAAAACACTTGTCCATTATTTTTTTTATCCTCAAAATACAGATTCAATTAATACTCTGTAAACCATTCCGATAATTATGTGTCCATGTGAACCACAAACGTTGTCTGTTGTCTGGCGTTACGTGCTAGATTATCCGTCCTCGAGTTCTGCATTCTAGAGGACATAAATGATCTCTGAGTAATTGAAACTCCTTTCAACATCTGGATGTCTTCTAGCTGGCCACTATGCTGGTTCTGAAACCATCTTTACCAATTGAGAGAATTCCATTGCAAACATGACAATAAATTGTGTTAAATTCCTCATACTTTCCATTGCCCATATAAGAGCTTCTACTTCTGAATGTAAATGTGATAAGCTTGGTCTCATGTTTCTGGCACTCATCAAAGCGTCAAAACCTTCCAAAGTGCTATACCAGCCCTGTCCCGAAAAAAAATATATTTTTCCTTCCATGATCCATCCGTGAAACACTATCTTCCCGGAATCTGAGTTAAAGCTGGCGACGCTGGTGTTTCTGTATGGGGTATACGATGTGAGAGCGCATTTTGTGCCTCCTTCCAAATTGTTGCTTATGTTTCTGTCAGCTTAATTGTATCTCTCGGATCAGTATCAATGTTGCTAAAAACATGTTATTCCTAGCATTCCACATGTACCATAAAATCCAAGTGAATTGGTGATCTTCCATGGGTGGATCGATTATCATAATAAATGATCCATATTTGTAAAGATTGATTGGGTAAGGAAGATAAGAGGATTTGATGGAACCTTTGAAAGAGCCCAAACTTAGACAGCCAGTGGGCATTCAAAAAATACGTGATTGATTGATTCCTCATCTTCTCCACATCTTGTGCATTGAATATCTCCTTGCAAACCTCGTACACGTAAACTCTTCTTAACCGAGATACAACCTGAAATAATTTGCCATAGGAAATGCTTGATCTTCGGCGGACATCTTACTTTACACGAATGTGCCTTGAGGGGGTTAATATATGGGCCTAATGTCGTGGTCGGCTGCTGAATGTCGGGGTAAACCCTTTCCACCTGTTAACCAGATTTCACTGAATATTTTCCAGTTTTAGTAAAGTGCCATCCATCCTTGTTTGGTCTCTGGAAATGACTTAATGGAATACTCTCTATAGGTTTTGCATCTTACGGATCCACCAGGTCTCGAATCATCTGAGAGTTCCATGTTCGTGTTGTTGAGTTAATGAGTGTATCCACTGTAAGATCGTGCTGAAGAATTTGTTGAAAATTGTTTGCTGGTTTCGGGCAAGTGGTTGGGAGCTAGGGGTCCTTTCACACAGAGATGGAAGAGCCTGATCTCATCCTTTTAATTAGCCATTTGCTAACCAGAGATCTAGTAGAGATCATACTTCGCCATCCATATGATTGTGAATATGACCTTATCGGTTC